ATGGATTAATAAATTTTACAGGCCACTACTTATCACTCCAGGAAAGTGATCCTTTTTTAGCTGATCACCTCCTCTGCAGCTGGCTTTGTGGAAAGCACTCTCCCTACCTCAACCCTAATCCTCAACAAAACCCTGCAAGCTAAATATTACGATCCCTGCACCCAAAGGGACAATTGCTTGTGTGCCTGGTGAGGTAGCAAGTGTGTGTCTTCAAAAATACAGCAAGGCTGTATTTTTGGCAGGGAGGTAAAATACAATGCCTTCTATGTGAAAATGGATGCTGGTCTTGAAAGTGACAACTTTGTTTGCAACCCCTGATGAAATGCCTGATTCAAGAAAGGTCTTCAAAAGCTGGTAAAACCAGGGGGAAGGTTGACAGGGAGTTTTCCAATTAAAGCCCCCCACAATGTGTAGATTTGTCTAATTGCTACATTGTACACCTGAAACTAATATAACATGTCAACTGTACATACATACACACATACATACATACAGCTCCCCAATTCATCTTAGCCTCTCTAAGGTAGGGTAACAGTTACGAGCTGCCTTCAGTGTGATGTATTAGGAAGTATAATGCATCCCACCAAGGTTCTTGCCACCAATAATTGAACTGAATCTAACGTCTCTAGGGGAAATTTCCAGTCTAACAAGAAATGCAGGGGAAAGAGGAGCAGAGAACAAACAAGCAAGTACAGTGAGGGGACTTTAACTGTAAAAAACAAAACAAAACAAAAAACAATTAGACATGTCATTGGGGGAATTCAAACATGACCTGTGCATCAGATGATATTACTGTTAATTTTGTCAGATGTTATATCACTATGGTGACAGTTCTTAAGTCCTTGTATGTTAGAGATACATACTGAATACTTACAAGCAAAAAGATACAGTGTCTAGGATTTGTTCTAAAATAATTGAGAAATAAAGAGGGGAATACATATGAAATAAGATTGGCAACGTGTTAACAATTGTCCAGGGTGGGTGAGGATATGTGAGACATCATCAAACTATTTTCTCTACTTTTGCTGTACTGTGTATGTTTGAAAGCAAAATGCTGATGGTGGCTGAAGCTGGATGGTGGGTACATGAGAATTCATGTAGAAATATTTAGAAGTTTGTATGTTTTTCAAAGTTTTTTTTATAAAAACTCAAAAAGAAAATGCTGGAGGGTTCCCAGTCTGAATTGCTAGTCAGGTGTCCAGGAAGATAGCCCAGTGGAATGCCTGGTGAACACCTAACCCTCGCTGACTATCCCAGCACTCATATCAGCTTGTCACCTTCTGACAACAGCAAAGCCATTAGGGACTAAGTGACCAAGTCTCTGCCCAAGTAGCCTTGGGGTCTGCTGCTGTGTGTCCTTTGTCAAGGGTAAGAACTTCGGTGCTGGGTGACCTGTGGGGCCTTGTTACCCTGAAAGCTCCACCCTTACTTTGAGTCTGGAGGTCCCGTGGATTGGAGGGGTCTTCAGAAAAGGGCTTACCGAGCTCCAGGCAGCTTAGGACCCCAAGGATAAACCCCATCACATGGTACAGAGGCAAGACTGTGTAGACCACGTCATCAGCTGTGACCCCACCCAGGGACAGCATCTTGCACATCTGCAGCAGTCGCTCATGCGTGACAATGGCCGGCTTTGGGAGCCCTGGGGAATGGAGTGGGAAGGGTGGGTGGTAAAAGGACAGCACATAGGAGTGGGTCTCCGTGGTCAGGGGCTTGAGGATCTTAGGAGGTGTTCAAGTATGGGGATTTGTGGGTGGGCTCAGGGAAGAAAAATTGGATTTGGGGTTCAGAGGGTAAATTCCAAAGCTCAGGGTTTCAGTGGCTGTTTACTGGGCAGAGGCAAGGTTCTGGTACTGACCAGTCAAAACACATTGGGGGTCAGAGTGCAGGCCAGGTGTCACAATCAAAGGGTAGGATGGGTTTCAGAGGTCAAGTTTGAGGCACATGTCAAGCTTGGGGTTAGGGCAGCATTAGGGTCCAGAGGTCAGGGCTAGGGTTGCTGGGTACCCTCACCAGTGGTCCCTGAGGTGTAGATAAACAGGGCAGGACTCTGTGGTGTGATCCCAGCACGTAGGTCAGTGGGCACGGGCTCGGTGGGTGCAACATCAAGAGCAGGCCCCAGAGCCCCCACTCCCGGTGTTGGGGAGGAATGGCTGAGGTAGAAGCATCGGACGTTCTCTGCCTGTAGCTTGGGAAGTACCTCTTCCAGGTTCTCCCGGAGGTCTGCAGGGATAGGTCAGAAGAGAAATTGGGGAAAGGCCCACATTTGAGGTCAGGAGGGGAGACCCAAGACCCAAAGATAAAGCCCCATAATTAGTATTTGTTGGCAACAAGGATTAAAACAGGGGCGCCTGGATGGCTCAGTCAGTTAGGCTGAGCCAACTCTTAGTTTCAGCTCAGGTCATGGTCTCAGGGTCCTGGGATTGAACCCTGAGAGCACTGCATAGGGCTCTGCGCTCAGCAGGGAGTCTGCTCAAGGGTTCTCTCTCCCTCTTCCTTGGCCCCTACCCCCGCTCACTCTCGAACATAGATAAATCTTTTTTAAAAAAGATTTTATTTGACAGAGAGAGAGAGAGAGAGAGAGCACAAGCAGGAGAAGCAGGTTCCCCACTGAGCAGAGAGCCTGACGCGGGACTCAGTCCCAGGACTCTGGGATCATGACCTGAGCTGAAGGCAGAGGCTTAACCCACTGAGCCACCCAGGCATCCCTAAAGTAAATAAATAAATCTTAAAAAAAAAAAAAAAAAAAGATTGAAACAAACATGAAAAAAAAAAACCTCTGGTGCCCCCAAAATTACTTTCCAGCAATTGAGCTTTGACTATAATTGCCTGTGAGGGTAGGTAGGAAGCAAGGATGTCCTTGCCTAGCCCCCCAGCAGGACCCCCTGTCCTCTTCTAGCCTCTAGGTTCCTCACCTGGGTCCACCACCAGCAGCCGAGCCCCAGAGCTCAGCACTGAGTGCACCAGGGGTGCTCCCCGGCCATGCGGATTGATCCAGGCCACTGGGCAGCCCAGCTTGGCCAGCCCCAGCCACAAACCCAAGGCCGGAATGGTCTGGGCTTCCAGCACCAGGAGGGCGGCTGACTCCCCGCCAAGCAAGCCCGTGAGGCCGCCCAGCTCGGCCTTCAGGGCCCACACTGCCTGGCATGCCCTGTCGTCCAGCTCCCTGAAGGTGACCGAGCGGCTCCCCGGCCCCTTCCACACCAAGGGCTTGTGACCCGGCTGTGTTCGTGCTCGTCGCTCGAAGGTATCCACAAAGGTGTCGGGCGGGCGGCGTCTCATGCGCACTCTGACAACCAGGCCCAGGCGGAGGATCCTGGCGATATAGGCCATATCTGCAGGCAGCCAGCGCAGCCCCGGGGGCGGCCGTGCAGGCAGCAGAGCCACCGTGAGCGCCGCGGCTGCCAGACTCAGCCAGTGGGGCATCCAGGGCCAGAGCCAGGGCCGCGCCAGCAGGGCCACGCTGAGCAGCACACAGAAGACGGAGTCTCCCAGGAGCCAGCGCAGTGCCAGGGCCACAGCCGCAGGCCATGCGGGCTGCCCCAGAGCCTGCAGCACCAACAGTAAAAAGGCTAGTCGCGGCCAGATGCCCATGGCGCCCGCTCCCTCCTCAGGGAAGTGTCCAGACTGCTAGTAACTTCTGCCAGGGGCTGCCTGGCCCAGATCTCTGACCCTTAGTCCCGCCCCCGCCCCCACCCCCTGACGGTGGCCCTGGAGGTGTTGACAGCAATGCTTCTGGCCTCAGGACTCCACCCCCCAGCCCTTTTTAACCCGACTTGTTTCACTGTGCCTACCTCTAGCCAGGTACGTGCCTGGCACTCTGCAAATAGTTGAAGGAACAAATTCAGTGACTAAATTCAAACCCAGTTCTGATATCCCCACCCCCACCCATATGCTGGGCTGAGTCGGCCCAACCCCCTGGCATCCATGGGGGATGGAGGCTAAAGGAGGCTAAACTCCCCCTGCCCGGAATGTGGGCAGGGCAGTCTCTCAATGGTTGGCCCGGAAGCCTTAGCCCTTCACCTCTGGGAGGCAGTCACAGAGGGGAAGCTCAGAGGCGGTGCCATTGACCTGGGAGCCCGCAGGTCTTCAGCTCAAACCCCTCTCCACCTGCTCCAAATTCTTAAGACAGGGTGCCCAGGGTCAGGTGCCGCCAATGCTCTGGAAGCAGAAGAGTGGCTGCTTTCTGGGCTGGCAGCCAAACTGATGCGGGGTCTTGTGACACTGGTTTGCTACCAGGGATCAGTACCTTCAGCCCCCTGGTTAACAGCCCAAGGGTCCTGGCTGCTTCTCCCCTTTTGCCCTGCTCCCCCACCCCACACTTCAGAACTTACCAGCCAGGGTAGGCATCCTGGAGCTCAGATCCCCACATGGCAGCCTGGCCTCAAAGACTCCCTAGACACCCTCCCCCCACCAACGTAAGGTGCTCAATCATGCCCATTAGGATGGGGTTGGGGAAGCCTAGAGTCCAAAGGGCCTTGAGATTCCTGCAGGAAGGGCCTTGAAGACTGCATCTTTCCCACATATGGCTTCCCTCTTCCAGATGCACTCAGGGCTGGCCTGTACCTCTCCCCATAGCACCAAGGGCTCTAGAAGAGTCAAGTGCCAGTCACATGTACATCCCACTTCCTCCTGGAGAACAGAGGCATGAGCGGCCAAGTGGATCATCCTGTCTCTGCCCAGGGAGCCCAGGAGGTTAGGGTTAGCTGCCCAGGGACAGGGGCACTGAGCCCCCAGGCCCACAACCATTCTGTGATGATGAGAAATGCACGGGTCTGGGAGCTCACAGCTTCCGAGTTTGGAACCCATGGCCCCAGTACTTTATTAGAGAGCGGGAGTCCCAAGGCCCTGTCCCAGTCCATGATGGGTCCACCTGAGCCCCCTAGACACCAGACTGAGGAAGGGGTACGGTGGGGAGCCAGGGATCATGCCCAGCTCGATGGGGCAGAGGAGCAGCTCCAGAACCCACCCCACTCAAGCCACAAATCTTGGGCCTGGCCCAAGGGTCTCTGAGTTTAGGCTGGAGATGATCCAGTTCTCAGGGGTGGTCGGGTCCCTGACCAAACCCAGCCTCAGCCTGCCACCGTCAGGAGGGTCTAAGTACGAGGGAGGAGAGGAGTAAGGCAGGCTGGACCCCTGGTCAGGTCTGGGGGAAAGGGCGGAAGCAGAGGGAAGGCCTGCGCTCTGGGGAAGGTGCGGTTTGGTGGTGGGAGTGTGGTCCAGGCGTCTAGGCAGGGATGTTACCGGTCCCGTGGTGGTTGTGGCCTAGTTCCACGGGAGGTCCCTAACCCGGCAGAGGGTGGCCGACTGCGCGGGAGCGTGGTCAGTCCTGCGGTGGGCGTAGCCAGGCCCAGAACTGGATCAGGGCGCAGGGTGCGCGGCCAGGTGGCGCTCGAGCAGCGCGCGGTGTGAGAAGACCTTGCCGCAGGCGGGGCAGGGCGCGCGCTCGGGCCGGTGCGTGCGCATGTGCACGTTGAGTGAGCTCTTCTGCGTGAAGCGCTTGGCGCAGACAGCGCATTGGAAGGCGCGCACGCCTGTGTGTGTGACCATATGCTTCAGCAGGTAGTCGCGCAGTGAGAAAGATCGCCAGCACACGGCGCACTGGTGGGGCTTCTCCCCTGTGGGCGACAGGGCATGCCGCGCACGTATGTCAGCTGGGAAGGGGCCCGCCCCGGGGAATCTTTGTCTGGCAGGGACTCCCTTCTCCTCCGGGACTGCCCATCAACCCGGAATCCCCCTGTCCATTAGGGACACTCCCTTCCTTCCCGGACTACCTTTCACTCCCGGACCTTCCTGCCCAACAGGGACCATTCCCACTCCCACAGGATTTCCAGCCAAATCTTTGCTTTTCCTAACAACATCCAGTTCAGCCCTGCAAGCAGTCTTTGACATTCCATACCCCTGTCCTCCACCTGAGCCCCTAGGGAGAACCCCACACACCCCACAACACACCCAGGACCAGCCAGCCACCACCTCAGGTCTTAGCTCCACAATCTCCACCGGTCCACCCTAGCACTCTCTGTCTCTCCCTCAGCCACTGCAGAGCACCTCCCAGACCAGCTGAGGTTTTTAGGGGACCTCTCCATGGTCTTCAAGGAGCTCCCCTTCCCTCCCTCTGCAGCTGCGGGGTCCCCACTATGCAGCCCCATCTCCGTCCTCCAGCGCTGATCAGGACACGTCTCTGCCTACTCTGCACGCTTTCCCTAGGCCAGCGAACTCACCCTCCCTCACATCCAGTCCCGGCCACCGGACCCACAGACAGCCAGAAGACCCAGGAGGCTCCCTGCAGCACTGCTCCCCAACCTGGCTATATATCCCTGCCAAGGCTCCTTTCCTCCTGATCATCCCAAGCTCCATCGCGGTGAGTAAAGGCTTCACTTCCAGCTTCCCAAAAGCTCTGGGCAAGTTCCTTCTCCTTAACCCAGCGGTACGATTCCCCCCTGCACCACTAAATCGAGGTAGGGGATGCAGGAGTGCCTGCTTCTCCACGTGGAGGGGCTTCCCCTCCCCCCTACACGTCGCACTTGGGGCTCAATTTCCAGGCTCCCCTGGGGTTATGAAAGAGCATCAGAACCGCATGAGTGCCTCCACCCCACTTGCCCAGTACCCAGTCCCCCCTCAGGCTTGAATCTCCAATGACCAAGGGGCTCAGAGACCCATCCCGGCTCACCCGAGTGGATGAACATGTGCTTGGTGTAGTTTTTCCGCGAGCTGAACGTCTTGCGGCAGTGACTGCACTCATAGGCAGGTGGCTCGGCGGCACCCGGGGCTCGGGCAGGGGTGGCGGAGGGGGCCACGGCGGGAGCGGCGGGCGGGGCCGGTGCCTCCCCCGGAGGCGCGCTGGGGGCTGCATCTGGCTGGAGCGCGGGGTAGAAGGCGGAGGAGAGTGCAGGAGCAGAGCCGGAGGGCGCGGGAGAAGGTTGTGCAGGTGGCCCAGGAGCGCCCAGATGAAACGGGAAAAGCGAGACTGGGGGCCCCGGGGTCTTCACGCCGGGGACGCGGGATCCGGACAGGACGCAGTCAGGCGGAGCCGGGGTCTCGGTGGGACAGGCTTCCGCGGCGGTGCCATCCTCATCTTGCCAAGCAGACACGTAGCTCTCCGGGAACACGTCCTCGGCAGCCGACGCCCCCCTAAGGAAGTCCCTCCCGGCGCCGCCGTAGTCAGCGAGGCCGGCGGGTGCAGGCGGCTCCTCGCACGCGCTGTCAGGGGCGGCGGTGAGGAAGCCGGCGGCGCAGTCGGGGAAGGAAGGGGGCGCCTGGCCCTCTCCCGGGCCGCCGCCTTCGCCGTCCTCGCCGTCGGTTTCGTCATCGGTCTCCTCGTCGCCATCGCCGCCGTCGTCCGGGGGCGCCGGGAGGGCGGGGTCGACGTCCGACCCCTCGGCCTTGGTGGGCGCAGTGGGCGCGGGCAGCTGCAGGCGCGCTGGCTGGCGCTGCTTGCGGCTATGCGCGGCACCGGGGTGGCCCGGGGGTCGCGCGGCAAGCAGGTGGCGCAGGCGGTGGCGTAGCTGCGCGGGCGCAAGCGGTGGGGGCACCGGCGTGGGTAGGGGTGCGGGCGCGCCCGGCACCGGGGCGCGGGCGCGGGCAATGATCTGCGTGCATTCGTCTATGACCGTCTGGATGCGCAGCACCGACGCGGCCGTGAGCACCTGCAGGGCTTCGCCCTGTGCCACCACAAGCGAGCCGCTGTAGAGGAACTCGACGAGCTGGCGCACCGTCTGCGCGGGCACCACCGGCGGCACGCGGATCTCCGAGTGGCCGAGCAGCAGCTTGTCCTGGAAGAAGGGCGAGCCAGCAGCCAACACACAGCGGTGTGCACGCAGCGAAGCCTCGCGGATCCTCACAGTCACGTCGCAGAAGTGACCGCCCAGCCGCTGCCCGTTGAGAGTCTCGAGCAGCGAGCGGGAGAAGTTCTGCAGGTGTATGTGGTGCACCGCCTCTGCCGCCGCCATCTGCACTGGATGAGGGGATGTGGGCGGGGAGAGGGAGGTCAGCCCGGGATCCACTCCCCTCCCCCGCCCCATTGTCCCTGTCACTTGAGCCCTTATTTCAGGACAAGGCCCATGGGCGCACCACAACCCCAGGCTTTGCGAACCTCAGCCCTCTCGAAAAGGCCTCTGGCAGTTCTGTTCCCATACACAGGACACAGGACTCACCACACACCACCCCGTCTCCAGGACCTCTGCAGCTCTACCTCTGAAGCCCCCAGGGCACCACCTGGAAGAAGGTTGGGAATACCAAAGCCCTGCCTCCCTCCCAGTCTTGCTTACTCCGCAGGGGAGGGTCCAGAGCTCAGCTTCCCCTATATTGGCCCACCCACCAACCCTTCGCCTAATTCCAAATCCATAAACCTTCCCCAAGTCCCCCTCCTAGGGGGCAGCTTTGTGAAGAAGACTGCAGGGGCCCCTTTACAGAACTGGCTGCCACACCTTACCCACTCCCTTTCCTGGCTGGCTGTGATTCCTCCCCAAGCAGCTTCTTTTTTGATCTTCCTTTGCCACATTCCCTAAGCCTGGAGCATCCAAGGTCCTGTGGAGACCCAGGTCTGTTGGCTTGGAATGGGGTTATGTTAACTTGTGTATACTGGGGTCTTCCTGGGGTGGGATGGCACGCCCTGACTGCCTCCTGGACTAAGCGATTCAGGGTGTGCATAGTCAGAAAGGGTTGAGAGTAAGTTGGGCACTAGCCTGGCAAGTGCCCTATAAGAGAAAAATACGTGGTCTCTGGCCAACCCCAGCACCGCAGGTAGGGAGGTCCCTCTTGCAGCCTGGTGTTCTTGGAATCTCGATATGGCTTGTAGGGCACGAGGTGTGGGTGTGGCATAGAGAGGGGGCTTGCGTGGATCGTGCAGGGTGTGTGACTGGGAGGGCAAAGGTGGTGCAGCAGCGGCCTCCGTATCAGCATGATCCTTGTCAAAATTCTGACCTCCTAATTCCACTTAATTTGCCCACCCTCAGACACTGGAAGGGAACTCCGGGAATCTGAGAAGCTCTGCTACTTCACCCGCCAAGCAGGCACCATGCTCACTAGGACTCAGTCTTCCGTCTTTCAAACAGAGATGGGATACCTGGCTCATCCTGCACCCAGCCCACACGCACCTCCAGTCTAGGGGAGCACAGTCGGGACACAGGACGCACCCTGACACTCACCCACTCTCCACCAGACCGGCTGAGGCTGGGTCACACAGCCCCGGAGTGCAGCCTCTTTTAACCTTCCGGGTCTAATGGGGTCTCAGACTCACCCCCCTCCGGTTCCTCACGCCCAAATCACCTTTCCTCTTTTGGGGCCAGCCCCTCCCTTTCTCGCACGCTCCACATCTCACCCTGAGATCACTTCGCACTCCGCCACTGCCCCGGTACCTCCGGCCGAGGCTGGTGGAGCCATCTCCTTGTGATCCCCGCCCCCCGGCCTATTCCCCACGCGACCGCCAGAGGGAGCCTGTTCAGACCTGACAGATCGGGACCCTCCTGGGCTCCGAGCCCTACATGGCGATGAATTAATTCTTGGCAATTCTTCAAACAAGCCAAGTCTTTGCACGTGCCGTTATCTATGCTACAGGCCGTTCCCCGTCTTTATTCACCCACCGACTAGAGAACTTCAAATCCGTGCCTGGGCGAGTGGGGCGGAAACCTGCGCATCGACCGGTACCCTTAAAGCCGGCCTCTTCCGACCCACCCCCGCCCTGCTCCCGGTCTCTTATCTCTCGGTCCAGATGCAGCAGGGCCTTCTCGGCGCCTCAGAACAAAGGCCCCCCCCCCCGCCCGGTATGGCGCCGCATTCTGGCTGCCACGCCTTTGCCCTCGCCGCACGCTTTGCTCCAAGCACCCTCTCCCACACTCTGCTCAATTGCTCGCGCCCTACCCTGAACCCAGAGGCCCTCTCTGAGACGCTCGGGCTGCACCCGCTCCAGACCCCGGCCAGCCAGCCTGTATTTCCCGCCGGCGCGCGATCGCCAGAGCCATGCCCCCAGCCTGCAGCGCCCCCTCACGTCCACAGCGTGCGCTCCAAGCCTAGCGCCGGTGCCCCTCCCCTGGCACGCCCCGGCCTGCCCGTGGGCCCTGCAGCAGGGGGATGCCCGCCAGACCCCACCTCCGGCTCCTCCTCAGGCACGCGGCCGGGACGTGGCCTGCTCCCGCTCGGCGCCGACCAGGCCGCACTTTCGGGGGGCGACGCCGGCGGAACCGAAGTCTGCAGCCGCGGTGGGGTGGGGAAGCGCTAGGTCAGAGCACGCTTCCGGTGTTTCTATGGCGATCCGCCGCCGCGGCCGGGCCGCACTTCCTGCTCTCGTCAGAGTCGGAACTCAAGTCGCAGAGCCTCGGGCGGCGGGGCGGCGAGGAACGTCTGGGCCGGAGCACGCTTCCGGCGTTGCCCTAGGCACGCGGACGAGGCGGGGCCTGCGCTGTCCGTCGTCGGGGGGCCACGCCCCCGGGCGCGCCCCGCGGGGCTGGCCCTGGAGCGGGAGCGCCGCCGCGGAGGCTGGGAAGGCGGTGCGAAGGCCCAGGTAGGTCTCGGCAGGCCTGGACTGCGCTGCGACCCCCTGTGTCGGCCGGCTTGCGCGGCGCTGCGGCCCCAGGTGACGGCCCCCTGCCCGCAGCATGAGTGGGACCGGCAGTAGGGCTTGTCCCTGGTCCGGGGGACTGCAGCCCTGCGTGCAGAGCAGGGGCATCCCTGCAGCCTGCCTCCACGCCCGCCCGCGGCCACGAGCGGAATGAGGGAGCAGACGCCACCGCCGCCTCCGGCTCCCGCCTTCCCCCCCTGAGCGCCCGGGTCCCAGGTAGAAGGTGGCGGCAGCCTGTCTCTATGCCGCCTGCCTCCCCGCACACACGCCAGGCCCGCCTGCCCGGGGCGAGTAGTGGACAGCAGTATGAATGCGTCCGGAACGGAGTGCCTTCGCGCGCAGCGCTCTGGGACACAGCTCGGAGCAGAAGGGCAGGGGTGAGACGGTAGTGCGTCCGCCAGGGCGGTGAAGATCGGTTCAGGAGACGTATGTGGGAAGAGCTGTGCGGCCAGAGGAGACCGCCTCGGTTTTCAAGGACCTGGAGATGCGGCTGGCTATCCAGGGCCCTATGAACCAGGCTAGAGGCTGGGGTGGTGGGCTGGCCTAGCTTTACACTTTGCTCATGGGGGCTAGAGGCAGTCAGGGGGACAGAAAGGTCGGAAGGTTGCCTGAGACCTGGGTGGGCCCTGTGCCTTGTGCAGCCGGCGTGGAATCCAGCCGGGGGGGGCGGGGGGCTGGCTTAGCCTCCAGAATGAGGGCAAGACCGGAGTCCCAGCCCCCCACCTTGGGCAGCTGTGTCGTGGACGTGTGGAAGGTCTGGAGGGGAGCCACTGTCCCCACTGGCAGCCTATCCCGTGCTCTGAGGAACCTTGTTAAACCCCAAGGCTCACGGCCTCAGTGTCCTCCTTCGGAGTGTGGGCCCGTCGGGACGGCCTGCCCAGCCCCCTGCGTCTGCTCCATCCGGCCTCAGTAGCCCCTCTCCAGTCCTGTCACTCCTCGTTCCTCAGTGCCTCGGTTCTGCCTGCCTCAAGGCTGGCCCGTGCTCTCCTCTTTTTGTGGCACTCTCTTCCATAGCTCAGCCGCCACTGCTCCTCTGGGGACACTCCCTGTCCTCTGTCACAGGACCTGTGGAGGGGGGGTCATCTGTGTCCCTCACCCTGACAGACACCTGCTGCCATTACTACTACCTCAGCAGGAAGAGAGGTGCTGACAGCAGCTTCACCCTGTCCTGGGCCTGATTGCACAGGGTTCTGGGGCATTGTAAGTCATCTCCTGTAGGGGGGCAGAATTCCAAAAGCGCCCCCTCCCAAGATTCCAGGCCAGGACTTATATATAGTTGCAGTCCGTGGCAGATATAATTAAGGTTACTAAGCAGCTGACCTTAAAATGAGATGATGCTTGATTGCTTGGGTAGGCCCAAGGTAATCATAGGGCCTTTAAAAGCAGAGAGACTTGAAGTAGCAGGACTCCAGGGGCTTTGAAGCTGGAGGGGACTACGTGACAAATACAGAGGGGAGTCTAGAATCTGACAAGAGGCCCACATGACCGCCAGCAAGGAAATAGGGACTTCAGTCTACAACTGCATGGGACTGGAACGTGCTGACCACCTGAAGGAGCCGGGAAGCTGGTTTCCCCCCAGAGCTTCCCATAAGAGCCCAGCCCTGCCCAAAACCTGATTGCAGCCTCTCTGAGACCTGGAACAGAGGACACTGCCTGGGTGTCCGACCTGCACAACAGTAAGCTAATAGGTGGCCGTTGTTTTAAGCTGCTGAGTTTGTGGTAGTTTGTTAAATAACAATAGAAAATGAGTATAGCTGCCAGAGACTCAGAGCCTGCACACAGTATATTTCTGATAAATGCCACTGTTTTCCCAGCGATGAATACCTTCCCCTTGCCTCTCCCTTGCTGAATGCTTCATTTCTACTTTACGAGCATTTATCAGCCGCGTTGATGGTCTCATTACCCTATCGTACAAGCAGAGGGACTCGGGGGCGTGGGGTGGTGGGGAGAAAGGGAATGAATCATCCAGACACATGGCTGGAACAACATCAGGCAGGTAGAAAGGCAGGTTTGAGGGCTCTGAGGAGGGACAGTGGCCCTCCGTAAGGTGAGGAAAGTGAGAGAATTGTGGGCTGAGCTGCTGTGGGGATTGCAGAGTTGGGGGGGAGGGGGAGGACCACAGTCCCATCTGCATGTTTAAAGGACCGTGGGGAGGGCAGTGGATCTTGTGGGGCGGCAAATACAGGAGGCCACTCAGACCTCAGCAGGGAAAGCCAGAAGGGGACAGATTCAGGGTAGGAAGGAGAGAACATGGGTGGCTTCAGAGGAGGTCTTAGTGGATGAGGGTGAGATGGAGGACCTGGCCCAGTAGGAGGCAGGAGGGAGAAACACAAACTGACCAGTCTCAGGCAGCAAGGGAGGTGGGAGCTGCAGCTTCCAGTATCACAAGCCTGG